AAAAACATGGGGTTAAAAGGTAGGAGGAGGGAGATCAGATAAATAAGACAGGTCTTAAAGGATGAAAAGAGTTGACCAAATTTAGAAATGGGAAAATAGGCTTATTTAATAGAGGACAAAAGAAAAAATAGTTCAGCCTGGGTATGTTACATCTTTATCAATGGGGAACTTAGCAAATGGAAAAATCTCTATGAAGCTGATCATGGTGGATGGAATGAGTAGCAGGTGAAAGACTAGAAATGTGGTTTGGAACCAGGCTGTAAAGAGTTTTGAGGGCCAGAGTATAGACTTGAATCCATCTTGAAGACAATGAGGAATCCATCACTAGAAATTGTAAGAAGGGAAATAGTATGTGTAGGAGTAAAGGACTTTAATGATGTGACTTAGCTGCTGTGTGTTAGGACAGTGGCTTTGAGGATGAAGGGAAAGAGTGGAGAAAGGAGGAATTCTCACTGAGTAGCAAAGGGCTCCTGTGAGCTAGAGCCGGTGTGCTACACTGAAGACAAATAATAGATAAGGGTAAGTCATTTTCTGCTTCTCAAGAATTTAGGAGGCAAATGCAGATCCTTCTGAAGAGAACAGTTTGTAGCTTTTACCTCTAAACAGTCTAATTACAAATTGTTTACTGATTTTTTATGGACTTGTTAAATCTTCTAAACCATACCATTGAAAGCCATTATCATTTCATGTTTCACATAAAACTTTCATACATGTTTTTGGCTTTTTTCCCTGCCTAGCTTTAGTAATTTTCTCTCCTCAGATAGGTAAAGCTTTATAGTTGATTTTTAAAAAATTTCTGTTTTAGCTAAAAGATGTTCTGACCTTAGAAAGACATTGTGCACAATTTTGGATTTCATTATGTTTTTTATGAGAACTGTCATCAAACCTGCTGTTTTTCTAGTCGATGCATTTACTTATCATGTATGAAGAATCTTATATTAGTTTGCATCACCCATGTTAACTCTGCTTTCTTTAACAATCTCTATTGATTAGGAAGAGGATTAGCTGTTTCACAGACTAAAATAACAAGAACTATTTTTTCACATAAATGCCTGACCTAGGTAATTGAATGGGCAATTGGTGCCACTGCTCCACGAAGTCCTCTGGAACCCAACTCCTTCCAGTTTACCCACCACCACTCCCTCAGGAGGAGCCCTTGTTTTCACGGTCTGGGATGATCCAGCCCCAATACCCCTGCTCCATCAGCAGTATCACAAAGGGTCCAGAGCAGGGCAAGGGGCACTTTCAGGCTGTGTATGTGGAAGGAGGCTTGACACCTACAAAGACCCTTCAGTCTGCATCTTATTGGCCAGTGATGAGGCCATAGCCATAGCTAGCTGCAGGGTATGTAAGAAAACAGCTAATCATCTGTAACCTCACAGGAAAGTAAAAACATATATTAGGAGAAATTAAACTTAAAGGCAAGAAGGAGGAAATATGATATTTTGGGTAGGTAACCACATTAGAGAGCTAGAAAAGCTTTTTCAGATGCTGTTTAACCCAGGTTACCTCTCTGAATGTGTTTGCCCTCCTAAAAATTAGGATAGGACTCTGGCCAAGATGGAAGCATAGGTAGACACACTGTGCCTCCTTGCAGAACCAAAATAAGGACAATAAAAATTTAGGAAAAAAAAACAACCGGTATTGACAGAAAATTGAATTGTATGGAAGTCCGACAACCAAGGAGTTAAAGAAGCTATATTCATCCAGACCGGTAGAAGGAGTGAAGTAGGGCAGCCAGGTGGAGAGGACTCATGGCAAAGCAGTGGCTGGTGGACCTGGGTGTGCAAGGCAGAAGCGGGCTGACCCAACGAGGCGGTAGAGTATGGATAGGTGCAGTGTGCAAGGTGGCTGGTGGACCAGGCAGCCCACATTCACGCACAGATAAACCAGGCAAAATTGGGGAGCAAGACAGACCCCACAACCCAGGGCTCCAACTCAGGGAAATAAAACCTCAAACACCAATTGAAAACACTTGTGGGAGTTGAGGTTCCGGCAGAGACTCCCATCCTCACAGGGGAGTTCGTTGGAGAGACCCACAGGGTCCTAGAATGTACACAAACCCACCCATATGGAGATCAGCACCAGAAGGGCCCAGTTTGCTTGGGGGAAGTGGCGGAAGGGACTGAAATCCGGCAGAGAGCAGAGCAAGTGCCATTGTTACCTCTCGGACCCCTCCCCCACATACTGCATCACAACCTAGCCACATGGGTTGCCCCACCCTAGTGAACGCCTAAGACTCCGCCCCTCACTACCTAACAGGTGCATCAAGACTAAAAAAAAATGGTCCAAATGAAAGAACAGATCAAAGATCCAGAAATAATACAACTAAATGATGGAGAGCCAACCTATCAGATGCACAGTTCAAAGCACTGGTGATCAGGATGCTCACAAAACTGGTTGAATTTGGTTGCAAATTAGATGAACAAATGAAGGCTATGCTAAGTGAAATAAAGGAAAATGTACAGGGAACACATAGTGATGGGAAGGAAACTGGAACTCAGATAAATGAAATGGACCAGAAGGGAGAAAAAAACAACCAAACAGAAAAGAATGAAGAAATAAGAATTCAAAAAAATGAGGAGAGGCTTAGGAACCTCCTGGACATCTTTAAATGTTCCAACATCCGAATTATAGGGGTACCAGAAAGAGAAGAGGAAGAGCAACTTTATAAGAGCAACTGTATATTTTTTAATAATCTCCTTTATTATTTGTCCGAATAATAAAGGAGAACCTCCCCAATCCAGCAAAGGAAATAGACTTCCAGGAAGTTCAGGAAGCTCAGGAAGTCCCAAAGAAGTTGGACCCAAGGAGGAACACATCAAGGCAAATCATAATTACATTAGCCAAGATTAAAATGAAGGAGAGAATCCTAGAAGCAGCAAGAGATAAGGAGATAGTAACCTACAAAGGAGTTCCCATCAGACTGTCAGCTGACTTCTCAAAAAAGACCTTGCAGGCAAGAAGGGGCTGGAAAGAAGTATTTCAAGTCATGAAAGGCAAGGACCTACATCCAAGATTGCTCTATCCAGCAAAGCTTTCATTTAGAATGGAAGGGCAGATAAAATGCTTCTCAGATAAGGTCAAGTTAAAGGAGTTCATCATCACCAAGCCCTTATTATATGAGATGTTAAAGGGACTTATTTAAGAAAAAGAAGATCAAAAACATGTACACTAAAATGACAGCAAACTCACAATTATTAACACACCTAAAAAACAAAAATAAAAACAAAAACAAACTAGTCAAACAACTAGAACTGGAACAGAACCACAGATATGGAGATCATGTGGAGGGTTAGCAACAGGGGAATGGGAGGAGGAGAGAGGGGGAAAAGGTACAGAGAATAAATAGCACAGATGGTAGGTAGTAGATAGACAGGGGGAGGGTAAGAATAATATGGGAAATGTAGAAGCTAAAGAACTTATAAGTATGATACATGGACGTGAACTAAAGGGGGGAATGTGGGTGGGAGAGGGTGTGCAGGGTGGAGGGGAGTGAAGGTAGAAAATGGGACAACTGTAATAGCATAATCAATAAAATATATTAAAAACTAAAAATAATAAAAAATAAAATAAAAAGTAGGATAATCATTCTGTCCTAAACTCTTCTTAGTGTTTGTGGTTGTGGGTCAAATACAATAATGGATTATCAACATTTTGAAAATTAGGTGTTACACAAATATGAAGTGTATTATTTTTAAAAGTATTAAGTAACCTCCTGAATATAAGCTCAAATATTACTGGAGTGATATGTGAGTTTTTACATTAGATCCTATGCTAACCTTATTTGACATGCAGAAAATAATATATTAGTGACAAATAACTCACATTGACAGACCACCTGTTTTTGTGAAAAACTTTCAAGAATATGATTATGCATTTGATTCTTCTATTAATTCTGTGCAGTAAGACTTATCATACCCATTTTACAGAAAGAAAAGCTAAAGCAGAGAGGTTAAAGGAATGGCTCAAAACCATGCAGCCTCTGAGTGGTAGGTTTAGAAATTATGTTGTCTGCAAGTGTGATGCATTTTTGTAGTCTTGCTTCTTGACTCTTTGTATGTCAACTTCTTGTTGCCTATTTAGAAAAGTCTAGATCTCTAGGATTAGAATGCCAGAGTCTCAGTTACTTATCTATACTTTATCTACATGGTGTTCTTTTCCACATCTTCACAATATGAAATAAATCCTCCAATCTGCCAGTCCCTTCCTGTATACATCCTTTACCCTGAAGAACCACCTGATTTACTGCCTCACTAAATGTCCTTTTGTCCCTGGCTCACTCAACTGCTGCCCTTTCTGTTACTGTCAACTCAGGTCCCATCTTCTCTGTACGACATTTCCTGAATACTTCATTCCACACAGACCTTCCATTTTCCTGAACTCTGTAACATAGAGAATATATATAGAATGCATATTTTATAGTTAATTATAGAAATAAATTATACACTGTATCAGATGATTCCATATGTCTTAGCTCTCTCCCCCACACCTAGACTTTGAGGTCTTGTACAATACTTCTTATTTTAGTAGGACAAGGACAGTGGTAAGAAGAGAGAAAGAAGTTGTGGCACGTGTTACAAAGATCATAATTTATTAGTATTTCTGACTACAAGTATGTTCTGCTATTGAAAAAATTTGGTTTAAATTATTTGTTAATAAACAAACACCTTATATTACATGGTTTGAATATGTGTTCATTTTGTGGAGCAGAGATCTTGCACTCTCAGATCCTTGTGAAATAACCCCTTTATTGTAGGTAAGTTTATGTGGTTTGCCTGAAACTACATAGTAGTGGCACAGAGATAAGAAGGGCAAGTCCTTCTCACCCTTAGACAGACTACCTTCCTTCATTCCCTCCTTCCCTCCTTCCATTCTTCTGTCCCTCCCTCCCCCATCAATTTAGTTCATAGCTTTTAATTCTTAAGAATCATATTAATAAAAAGATGATTTATTCAAAAGATCACTGATCCTTTTTTTCTGTCTTTTTCCCCCTCTAGCCCTCTTCAATCTGATTCCCGTGGGCCTGCGCGTGGTGGCCATCCAAGGGGTGAAGGCCAGCCTCTATGTGGCCATGAATGGTGAAGGTTATCTCTATAGCTCAGTAAGTACCTCATTGTGTGTGTGTGAGTGTGTGTAAAAACTGACATTGGAGTAACCATTTTTCCATTATTTCAGGGAAAAAAATGGGCAGCTGATGTAATTTTATGTTTCCTGAGCTAGTATGTTGGGGTTATTATGAAGATTTTATCATTTAGAATGTTAAAGATCTTGTCCTGTTGAGAAAGAGCTAGATACTTTCCATGCAATATAAATTCTCTTTACCTATCTTCCACTTCTAGAGGATAATCTATTTTTTTAATTTTACCTTCCTGTTCAATGCAAGAGGTAAGTGATTTTTCCTTTCTCCTGTTACTTCTTATTCAGACACAGAGGATGATTTAGGAAACTAGATTCTCCTGTTTGTCTGTGAGTCTTCCCTATCTTATTATGGAGAAAGAACGTTCAAAATAGCTTATACTTTTGTTGTATTCAATACAATCTATATAGTACCAGATACATCAGACTCCTGGGGTCACTGGTCACTGTAAAGGCAACGTGAATTTGTGGAATGAGCTCTGGATTAAGGGCTGAGATATTTGAGTTTTATTTTCATTTCCATTACTATGTAGTTATCCCTTTGGGCAAGTCATGTCCTGCTGTTGACTTAATTTCTGGACCTTTAAACTTATAGAATTTTACAACTGAAACCTATATAATTTTATTAACCAATGTTAACTGAATGACTTTAAAAAATAAAACAAAATGAGGATATTGTCTAATGTCTCTTTTAAATCTAAAGCTAATAAAATTAGGTTACATCAGTGGCTACATTATCAGCACTGACATATTTTAAAGTAGTTAATGCTATTCTGATGCCTGTCTCACTCTGAAGAGAATAATTTATGCATTGAGAGAAAGTGTGGCTGCATTGGATCTTGTGTATATATAATTTCTGTTCTCTAATAAGGGAGTTATCTATTTGTAGTTCATGAACAAATATTCTTGAAAATTATGGTTACAGATTTCCACCCTTACTTTCTGTGTTCTCAGTAATTAATAAAAGGTTATTCAGGAAGTTCACTCATGCCTACTAGATTCTAAATTAGTTATTGTATAACTTCTATTAAACTTTTTGTGTATTCAGTTCAATGAATCTCTGATATATTATGCTTGATATTAATAATATATCTGTCATTCATAATAGAATTCTTAAAGTTATGGTTTTACTCTCGGAAATATTCAGATCTAAATATATGTACTAGATGTGTACATATACTTTTTTCCAACAGTTTCTACTCAAATTAATACTTAAAGGTAAATATATTTTTGGTCAAAACAGTGAACTGTCATTCTTAGTGTGTCTTAATTCTAACAGTTCCCTATGTCCAGTTACTGTGGGTCTATATTTTAGATATAAAATTAAAATAAGAAAAAGAAAGATAACAGGTTGTTATTTTGAATAATCCCAGTTCTCTTAAACCTTTAAAAACAACTTGAATGTACTACAAACTAAAACATGGAGATGGTTATAGAGTAATATTTATTTAAAGATTTAATTAGTCATTAGGCAAACAGCTGAAGGTTGAGTATATTACATTTATAGTTATATTGAGGTCATTATTTGTTTTTGTTTAAAAGATCAGAATTCAAGGTGTAATTCCACAAGAACTGTAGAGTTTATGTCTTTGGACCAAAGTTTATTTCCAAAGGTCTGGAAGGAAGAAAACAGAAAGTCTGGAAGGGGTACTCTAGGCAGGAGGCAGGTGTGTAGAAGCCAGTGTTTGTGTGTGTGTGTGTGTGTGTGTGTGTGTGTGTGTGTGTGTGTGTGGCAGGGGCCAGATGTGGGGGGAGGTCACCCTGTTGGATGCAGTCCCAAAGTTCATGGGAGGAGCCTGGGCATTCTGCATGAGATGACTGAACTTGGTACTCTGCAGCATTTGTAGAGGTGCAGGACTTGAGCCCAATAAGAGGAGGTTTTAAGAAATTCTTGCCAATAGAATCTTACTGTAGGTGCCTTTTCTATAAAGGAGCTAGTTAATACCTTAGTAAAGCCAGTAGTCAGCTGTGGTTGAGTTACCTGTTTAGGGTACCTAGCTTTTCAGTTTTCCTCTTCACTTAATGAAACCTGCTTCATACCAAGAATCTCAGTGACTTCCCTGCTTATGGTCTTGCAGAGCTCCTGGGATCAATTTGCCTTAATTATAAGTGTGGCATCACTGACAGAGATCATCAGGGCTCCTCCTTTGAAATCACCATCTTTCTAGATGAGAGTAATAGGAGATGATGCTGGTTTTTAATTTTAAACAGTGGGTATGGGTCTGAAGACTGTTACAGGACTAAAGGGAGCCCATATGGGGAAGGCATATGTGAAAGAGAATTTGGGTATCAAGGCTTTGTGACACTTCACACTGCTGCTGTCTGTGTGGTAGGCCCTGGTGGGAGAGTACTAATGCAGCCTGGATCCTTGCAGTGGTGAGTTAAAAACAGGCCATTAACATAGGCTTTCCTGGGTGTTTTGGGATGTATTGAGGATTAAAGTTATTTGGAAAGCAATTTGCGACATTATGTGAAACAGTGTAGTTGGGCACACCAGCAAGGGCCACAACTGGAGTACATGTGGGGAAGGGCTGGGAGAGGGGTGTGTGACTGATTTGCCACCTAAGATGTCCTAAAGAAACAAACCGAGCATCCAAGAGAAATTCACAGGTGTTATCATTGATAGAGTGTCATTTACATGGTTTGTATTCACATTTAAGCCAGGAATTCATTCCCTGTTACTTCGGATTTCCCTGCCACCCCCATCACCAGGAAAAGAAGGAAAGAATGGCAAAGGCAGAGTGATTGTCAGGGTAGAGTGAAGCTTTTAAGATCTATTCTGAAAATCTATGCTTTAATAGGTGAGTTTAATCCAAATGTATTTAATGTGATTGTCGATGCATCTGGATTTGTTTTTTATCATTGTAGTTTATATATTTTTGCTTCCATATTCTTTATTTCCTCATACTATTGAATAATTTTTTTTCTTATTTTTATTCTTTTGTTGCTTTGTAGAGGTAGGTTATAAGTCTATTCCTTTAGTGGTTTACCCTTATTTTTAACCTACATACATAAGTATACAGTTTGTTAAATATGTTTAGTGTTTCGGTCCTTCTAAACAGCCTACAGACCTCAGGGTACTTTCTTACTTAGTGAGCACCACCACCCTTCTTGGCAATTTGATTAGTTACATTTTAAAATAAAATCTAGTTAAATGATTCTATAGCTAATAGTTCAACTTACTGATCTTTAAAAGAATTTCTATGCATACAGTTTTTGTTTTGGTGTCTATCAAATTTGGCCCCTCTGAGTTTACTTTTCTTATAAAAGAAATCTTTGGTTTTTGTGTGAGGGTGTGTAGATGGTGAATTCATTTCATCCTGGTCTCTGTGAAATGCCTTCCTGTCACTTTCATTGTTGAATTACAGTTCAGATAGTTATACAATTAGAAATAGACTGTTATTTTTCTATTGCATTGACTTCCAGCATCTGTTATTGACTATGACAAGTTTGCTCCCAGTTTAATATTATTTCCTTTGTAGGTAACTGACGTGGAAAACTTAAAGGCTATTTTTCTCTTTATACTTCATGTTCTGCAAGTTCACTATGTCTAGATGTGAATCTGTATTAATTTATCTTGTTAGGAATTCAGAATTACCTTTTAATTCACAGAATCATGGTTCTTAAATTTTGGAAAATTTAAACTTTTAACCCACATACATTTTATTTCTCTATCTTGTTGTCCAATCTCCTTTGCTGACAATACTTAAATGACTTATGTTAAAAACTTCAAAATTAATCTAAAAAATTTACACCATATGGTTTTTAATGTCACTATATTTTTCAGGTTTGGATGTCTAATGGTTTTTGTTTAATATTTATCTGTTCCTGATTTATCTCCTCCTGTTTTTACTATCTGGCTTTTTTTATAATTAAGTCATCAACTCATTTGCCTCTCTGAGCATTATTATAAGACTTTGTCAAACTTTTCCATAAAGTTAATTTCTTTTGTAATGAATTCAAGTTTCAATTGTTGATTTTTTTGGCCACCATTTTTAGAAGTAAGTTTAGATTATATTAAAATTCAGAATGAGTTCTTGATGTGTTTGTAATTTTTATTTGCAGGCACATTTCTCTCCCTCTCCCAGATCTACTTCATTCAAGGTCTGCCTTCACTTCCTAGCAATGTTTTGGTTGCCTCTATCTAGCCTCCAGTGGCCCTAGCTTAGAGTAAGTTTAACAGTCATTTCTAAAAAAAAAGAGTCATTTTAGGCTCCTAACCTAGGGTAACATTAAGGTTAGGGAAGGGGGCCTAGGTAGGTTGTGGCTTGCTCTCGTTCTTCTAATTGTGAGGCTATGTCTACCATCACTCTTGAGTAAAATAGTAATAGCATTTTAGAAGTTTTACTTTGGCCTTTTAAGAGTGGGAGTAGGGAAACTATCCCAGCCTCTGGTATGGGCAGGTGGCCTGGCTCTGGCCCTCTGCTCTACACAGAGGGCTTTTATTGACATTAACCTGCACAGAGTACCATGGTGGGTTGCAGGGCCTCCTTCAGGACCTGAGCCCAGAAGGCCTGCAGCTGCTGCCTGCTCAGTCCTTTGTGTTTCCATCCTGTGCAGGTGCTTAGCTTGTTTTGATGCTGGCATTGTAATTTAGGCCTCATTTTTCATATTTTATTCATCATTGCTATTTGTTTGGAGCAGAATGGATACACCGTAGTTTGAACTCATACCTTTCCCCCTCTTTTATTTTTAATTGTGATAAAAAGCACATAGCATAAATTTTACCATCTTAATCATTTTTACATGTACATTATAGTAGTGAACTAAAACAACAGTAGCAACAAGAATGAGAGACAGCTTGATCGACTCATATCCTTGTGACCATTTAGAATTATATTCCTAAATCTCATTCTTTGGCAAGAGTAGAAAATATCAAGATTGCAAGATGATATTTATTTTGTATTGAAATGCTGATCAAGAATTACTTAGAAACATGGAAGGGGCCTCTGAGGAAGAAGAAAA